GGTGGCTCCCAGTTGCTGTGGCACCCTCAAACAGAGACAGCCTGAGAGTGCTCCCAGTCCCATGTACAGCTGGACATTCCCAGTGGTTACAAAGTCTTTTCTGTTTCACTTCTACTGGTTTATCTCTGTCCTCTCACACCACTTGTTGCAGGCCAGGGTGGGGTGAGGTGCGCTGGGATGACTTTCTGCTTCTGCCACCACTGCAGAGACACTGCGGCCACCACAGTCTCTCCTCCTATGAGGCCCTAACTTTTAGTCAAGTATAAACTCATCAAGGATGAGAGTAGTGCTCTTATGGCCTAGTCATTTTCAAAAGTCCCACCTCTGAACAGAAGAGACTTTGGGGAGACATTTTAGATCTTAACTATAAGGCTTATACATAAGGCTTCCATCTCAGAATCTGAGATGACTGTTCCAACTCCTGCCTTGTATTTTCCAGAAAGTAAGAAGGCTAGAGAAATAAGAGAATATTTACCTTTACTGTTAACAGTATATATCATTTCAGCTCTCATTCATTATTCAGGGCCTGTAAAAGAGGCTGGAAAATGTAGACTTTAACTGGTTTAATATGTGCTGACATAAGTGATGAAACAATAGACAGTCTTTGACAGGCCATTTTGGGCTTTTTTAAAAAAATACTATGATTGTATTAAACCTGGACAACTGTGCACAATATAAATCTTTGCTTTATTGTACTGTGCTCAGTTTTACCTGGGTCCTTCTGTATTTACTAATATATGAGGATACATACATAATACATATATTTATATTATGTATGTAGCCTCATATATTAGTATATATATATATATATATATATACATTAAATTATAAACAATCTAAAAGTGAAGTGTTCAGCCTTCCTTGCTAGCTGGGTTATGCTTAAATTCAGCAAACAGGACACATTTTTGTCAGATTAAAAAGTAAAAGGAAAGTGAAAGGTATTTTAGCAGTGCTCCTTAGCAGTATCAACAATGATCAGAGATTTGTGTACTTTATCTTCAATTGTTGTGTATTTGTGTTAGCAACTAAGATGGCCAGAGTAACATGTCTAGTCCTTACATGTATTTGTAGCAAATTCTATCATATTTTTCTTTGATGAAATATCTAGAGAGATTTGTATAACTGATACAGTTGGCTATTTCATTTCATCCCTTGAAATATTTTGAAGGCAGAGTAAAACAAAACAGGTTAAACAAAGAGGTTTTAAAGAAGATAGATATTTCTTAGTATTCTGTTGTTAATGAACAGGTTTGCTGCATTATCTTCACCATATGGCCATAGATTATACTATTTCCATAACTGTTTCTGACTCTATCTAAAATTGAGAATTTTTCCCCACTTGAGTTGTCTTCAAACTTTGTTAACCTTCATCCATTGTTTATCTTTATCCATTTTTAAGAAGCACATCTTTATCAATCTAGTTAATGACCTTAATTCTTTTAAAATCAGCCTAATAATTCTATTGAGTGCAACTTCTTAGTGCATACTTTGTGGAATTAAATAATTTTTTGTTCTTGACACCAATATTGTTTGCTTGCAAATTGAGATATTTTATACCCCATAAAATTGACCTGATTAAAGTATACATTTCAGTTGTTAGTATATTCAGAGTTGTGCAACAACTACCACTATCAATTTTAAGACATTTTATCACTCCTAAAAGTAGCTACGTATTACTTAGCAGTTAATTCCAATTTCTCTCAACTCCTGTCACTATACAACCAATAATATGAATCCATTTTCTATGTATTTTCTCTTTTGTGCATGTTACATAAATGGAATTATGTGTGATTAGCTTCAATTAGCATACAGTTTTCAAGTGACATCCATGTTGTAATATATATCATTACTTCAATTCTTTTTTATTAGTATACTGTATTTCATTGTATGGATATGTTACATTTTATTCATAATTAAACTAGACAAGTTTCTTTTTGGCTGGTATAGGAATTCATACTAATGTTTATTGTAGACTTACATTTTTAATTTTTCTTGGGTTTACACCAAAGAACAGAATTACTGGGTCATATGGTACCTGTGCTATTTTACATTTTGAGGAACTGACAGTCTGGTTCCCCAAAATACTGCAGGACTTCATGTTTCCACAATCAATGTATTAGTGCTTACGTTCTCCAGATCGTCATCAATGTGTGTTACTGTACATATTTATTAGACTTATCCTGATCATTACACAGTTATATCTTTTTGTGAAAATTATTTATAATTTTTAATGGCTGACAATGTTCTATAATTGTGTGCCTAAATTTGTTATCAAGATAATGTGGGATTGATAGAATAAGCTAAGAAGTGCTTTTACTTACTCTGTTTTTGGTGAGGAACTATATTCTGATATTTATAATCCATATTGCTTTGCAGAAAGAGTAAGAATCTCTTCATGAAAATTTTATATTTATAAATCTCAATGAGTGAGAAAGTATATTAGAATCAAGAAATAACTGCCTCAAATAAATTTAAGAAATGTTAAGAATGACATGCCAGGGGCTGGGGATTTAGCTCAGCAGCATAAGCGCCTGCCTTGCAAGTGTGCGGTCATGACTTCGATCCCTGGTACTGATAAAAACGAAAAAGACACACACAAAAAAAGTATGACATGCCAGATGTGGTAGTGCATACCTATAATCCTTATACTGAGGGGCCTGAGGGAGGAGGATTGCCACTAATTTGTGGCCAGCCTAATCTACATAACTTGGAGCATGCTTAATGTTCCACTTCTGGAACACACATAACAATGGAATATAACAATTTTTTTCTCTTAATTCTTTCTTCTTTAAGCTCTCTAGGTAACATACGAATTTTATGCAAAATTTAAAAATTTGCAATCTTTGGCATAAATGGTCTAAAGCTGATCTTGTTCTGTCTTCTCTAAGTAGAGCATTGCTCCAAGCAGTGAGTTCAAGGCTAGGCTGAGCTAGGTAATGAGACTTCGTCTTAACAACAGTAACAACAACAACAACTAAAAACACACAAACATTTTTTGTATTTTTATCGATTGTTAAGTAGAATACCATGCAGCTTTCATTATCCCTTGGAAGCAAAACACTACATTGGTTGATGGCCTTAGAGAAGAATTCCTACTATATAGAGGATAGCAAAAATATCACTATGCCAACTTTAAGAAATAGAAATTCAGACACTTTTGCTATTGGATCTTGGTATTATTTCCAGGAAAACACATTACGTCATTCCTCTATGGCCAGCAAGTCTATCCCACTAGCATACAGAAGAATGAGACTATATTTACTATTCTCATGGATAATAGGATATCATCTCCATACTGTATAGCAGTGAGGTTAGCCATAATCCTTATGATTCATACACTTAAGTAGAACAAAGTGACATAGATAGGGCTTGCATCAGAGAAAGATATTTACACACATTACATTGATCCCTGCATATACCTGAATGCTTTAGCTCTTAGCGTGTTTTATTTCTAAAATCTGTTCTCATAGGTGTCAAAAACTAGACAAAAGACTGCCTTTCCAATACCAATTTAGTTGAGAATTCTTTGGAGATTATAAAAAAGAAATGGATTAAGAACACCATGAAATATTCATGTTATATGTTTAACCTTCAATTAGGTTAAAATACATACAAATATATTTTTATGGAAGTATTTATAAAATGTATTGAGTGGAAGAAACAGATTATAGATACGGAACTTCATCATATAATAACCATATATGGTCATATATACTTTAAAATAAAATGAGGAAGTTATGTGATGAACTGTTTGCAACATTTTTTCAAGATAAGTTTTAGGTTATCTACATACTATATCTTTTTGCTTTTTAATGCTAAAAATCAACATTTTAGTTAAAATATGCTCACAAAACAGTTTTTGGTGCAATAAATATTTGGTTCAAATAGATACAGAATCTCTTTTTATGACCTGTCTAGGTTTTCTATTCTTTGCAAAATTGTAGCATATTTCATACTAAAATTAATTCTTGTCTGACATTGCCTCCTTTTATACTAATTTTTTCTTATTAATGAGATAATGAGCTTAAATCTCTCTTTTTTATTGTGTTATTATGAAAACTTTCACAAACATACAGAAGACTTGAAAGAATTTATACTATAAACAATAATATGTGTATTATCATCTAGTTTTGACAGTAATGATTTTGCTATATTTATATTCATTATTCTGTTCTATGTACATTTTTGGATGCAGTTTCAAGTTGCAGATGTCAGTTGTGTATTTGTAATTCCTTTAATTTTGCCATATTTATTTGAAATGTGGTTTACACTCTGAGAAATTAAAATTTTAAAGTACCGTGATGAATTTTGACTAATTTATACATTTTTGTAATCCAAACCTCTTTCCATGTATGTGTGTGTGTATTCTTCCCTCACTAACATATTTTCATACCCCTTCACAGTCCTTAAGGTAACCATTATTCTGATTTTATTCACTATTGATTAGTTTTGCTTTTTAAAAGCTTATTGCAAAACGCGATTATAGTGTATGAATTCTTTTTTATGTTCTTAGCATATTTATGGGAATCATCCACATTTTTGTATCTATTAGTGGTTTGTATCTTTTAATTATAGAATATCATTTCATTGTATGAATGTACACCATAAGTTTTTTAAAAATTTTCTCATTGATGTGTGCTTGGACTATGTTCAGTGTTTTACTGTTATAAAAAAAGCCACATGAATAATTAAGCAAATCATTTCTGTAAACTTATCTTTTTAATATTCACAGGTATACACATATGGAATTACAAGGCTATGAAATAATTTTTATATTTTTAGTTTTAAAGAAACTACATAACATTTTCTGAAGTGGTTATAAAATGAAATGTTTTTGACTCTCACCAACAAACCTATGAGAATTTAAGTTATTCCATATTCTTGTTAACATTTAGTTGTAATATATGTTTTAAAAACATAATTTTAGCCATCTAGTGGCTGTGTTATGATTTTAGTTTTTGCTTTCCTGATGACTGTTTGCACTGTTTGTTCTCTTTCAGACAGTTCGGCATGGTTTTCCTTACCAGCCCACAGCTTTAGCCTTTGATCCAGTTCAGAAAATCTTGGCTATTGGGACAAGAACAGGTGCTATACGAATGTATCCTTAAATTTTTGTTCATTATTCTCTACATTAATTAAATTTATATTACCATTCAGGTGAGTGAAATATTTATGGCCAATCAAGGTATGTATGTATATGAATAACTATTGTGAAAAATATCATATTTATTGTTATATGTTTAATTTGATGTCTTTGAGATCACTCTTGATGTCCCTTATTTAATTTCTTTTTCTGGTGAGAATAAGGCCAATTGTACAAATGCCTCACAAATATGTAGATGCTCAAGTTTGTTATAAAAGAAGATGTAGTACTTTCATATAACCTATACACATTGGCCTATATCCTTTAAATAATATTTGATTACTTATAATTCTTACTGCATTGAAATACTCTGCAAACTGTATTTTCAAGCAATAATGGCAGAAAAAAGTCTGTAGATATTTATTACAGAAAACTTTTTTTACCAAATATTTTCAATCCATGGTTCCATGAATCTGGATGTGGACCTCATAAATATGAGGGCTGATTATATATCTGTAGTTCATTTCTTTTTCATTGCTGAGTATTCTGTTGGCATTCCTATGATGGAGTACCTGACATAAACAGTTTAAAGTAAAAAAAAAACAAAAAACCCAGTTTCTTAGGTTTCAGAAATTTTAGTCCATGGATAGCTGGTTGTATGGCTGTGGGCCTGAAATAAGGCAAACCAACTTGGGAGGAGGTGGTGGGAGAAATATCTTTACCTCATATAAGCCGGGAATCAGATAAAAAGTAAAAGAGTTAAAAGAGGAAAGGACTAGGGACAAAATAAACCTCTCTAAGCTATACCCCTGGTGACTGGCTCCATCCAAGTAAGCACCACCTCTTTGTAGGGCAATTTAGCTAATGAACTCATCAATGGATTAACTTAACTTGCTTAAATTAGATTCAGTTATTTTCTCTAAGCATCATCAACTAGTAACCAAGCCATTAGCACATGACTTTTGGAGGACATTTCAATATAAACCATAATAACATTCTATGATGTGGATACATCACAGTTTAACCATTTCACTTATTTTTAGGTTTTGGCTATTATTGGGCTATTTTTACTAAAGCAGTTATAGTTCATGAACATAAATATCCAAGAAACTCCACAAATTCAAAGTATGATAAACTTAGAGACACACCAAGGCACATGATAATAAAACTTTCAAAAACAAAGACAAAGAGGGGGCTGGGGATTTAGCTCAGTGGCATAAGCACCTGCCTTGCAAGCAGGCAGTCGTGAGTTCGATTCCCGGTACCGATAAAAAAGAAAAAGACAAAAAAAAAAAAAAAAAAAACAAAGACAAAGAGAAAACAAGAAACATAGATTTATAAGAGAATGCCAAACTACATTCCATAGAAGTAGTGTGAGAATTATACTGTTACATCTCTCCATAGTATCAGTACATTATAATATTGATATATTATTCATATTTACTCACACACTAGTAATGTGTGAATAATACTGTTATATCTCTCCATAGTTTCAGTACATTATATTATTGATATAGTATTCATATTTATTCATCTTACTATTTTGATAATTTTGTAGTAAAAACTAATAATTTCAATTTCAGTGGTGACTAATGACCTAACATCTCTCTTTGCCATCTATATGTTCTCTTCATGGAATTATCGTTTGTGTTTCAGCCCTTTTATATCTTGATGGTTTGCTTTTCAAATGTTGCATTTTAAGAGTTCTTGTATATTCTAGAAACTAGTTCTTTGTTGGATATATGATTTGCACTAATTTTCTTCTATTCCTTGTATTTTACCATCTTAAATTGATAGGGTCCTTAACACAAACTAGTTTGTTAGTATTTCCTTTGTAAATCATGCTTTTATTACGGCCTCTTAGAACTCTTTGCCTAATCCTGGATCTTAAGGAATTTCTCCTATTCAAAAGTTATTGTTCTATATTTTATAATAAGCATGGATTCCATTTAAAATTTGTTTTAGAATTTTCATTAGCTTTTTATGATTTGCCATCTAGATAAGTGAATTCATTAAGTGAATTGGAAGACATAATGGAAACTGTTGATTCTTTATATTTTTGGAAGAATTTGTTAGTGAATGCACCTACATGTGGAGATTAATCTTATGAGTGTTTTTATATTATAAATTCAATAGTTTAGTAATTGCAGGACTATTTTGGTTGTCTATTTCATCTTGATTTAGTTTTTTTCTTTTGTAGTTCATATAGCCGGTCTTACTGATGCTTTTTAAGTTTTATTGATTATTTTGTAAAATTAGTTACTTATTTCCCATTTTTTCTTCTCTGTTTTTTTTTTCCTGTTCATTATTTCCTCCCCTCTCTGCTATGAGTTTATTTTGCTCTTTTTTCTCTCTTATGTTCTTGAAGTAGGAACTTAGATTATTGATTTGGTCCTTTCCTCTTATAAAGTATGCATTTAGTAGTATTAATTTTCTTCATGGTATTGCTTTAACTGGATCCTCCATATATTTTTTATTTGTGCTTTCATTTTCTTTCTGGTATGTGTAGTTTTAAAAATTTTCCTTGAGAATTCTGTGACCCATGAGTTACTTGAAATTGCAAATAATTGCAAATGTTTGGAAATTTTATCTTTTTGTATTGATTTTTGGTTTCTGTTCTTTCAGAAAATACTATAGTTTTTAAAAAGTGGTTGAAGCTTACTTTATGGGTTTAGGAATGGTCTGTTTTGGTGAATAGTCCATAGACTCAGAAAAACACATGTTCTTCTCTTGTTGGGTGATTTATTATTTGGGCTTGTTATTGTTGGTTGATTCTGTTGTTGCTAATTCTTGCTTATTTTTTTACCTTATAGTTTTATCAAATACTGAGAGTGGAGCAAATCAGGCTCTCCAACTCTATTCCTGTAGCCACCTTGATTAATTTTAGTTCTCAAGTTTTTTGTTTTACTGTGCACACATTAGAATTATTCTGTTTTACTGGTAAATAGATCCTTCTTTATCATGTAGTATTTTTTCTCTCAATATTTTTTTGATCTACAATCTACTCTCTCAATAAAGTAAGTCTTGGTTTTTGTCATGGTTTATGTTTGTGTCCCCCAGGCCTCATGAGTTTGCATTGTGTATTTGTGATTGGTTCATTGTCTAGTGCTTGGATTGATGGTGTCAGTGCTCCACCCACATAGGGATGGAGCCAGGATGTAATGTAATGGCAGGAAGAAGGTGTGTTTTGCTTTTTGCTGGTTCCGGTTTGCTGTTGGCGGCCACCATGAGCTGCGGTCCAGCCATGCCCGCCTGTCTTGGAGCCAACTGAGTGTAGACTGAAACCTCCAAAAACTGTAAGAAATAAACCTTTCCTTTCCCAACTTTGGGCTTCAGGTATTTTGTCTCAGCAACGAGTAAAAAGTAACTAAGACAGTTTTTAAAAAATTAATGTTTGTACAATACTGTTTATCTTTTTGCTTTATATTTAAGTTATTGTTTTTGAAATGAATTTACTATGAAGAGCATTTTTGGAATATTTTTCCTTTTACTCTGCTGGTCTATTCCTTTTAATTGATGTATCAATACCATTTACTGTTCATATAATTATTTATACTTTACTGCTTGTCTCAGTCAGCTTCCTTTTCAATGAGATGTAATAACTGACATGTGCAATTTAAAGGAAAAGTTTATTTTACCTAATTTCAGAAGTTTCAGTCCAAGACTGTCAAGCTCCAATGTAGAAATGGTAGCAGGTTCTTCTGTGAAGGAAGTTACCCTTGTCATGATGACCTGGAAGCAGAGAGAAAGAATGAGCCAGGGAGGGAGACATACCCCTCTAGGTCATTCTCTGATTGAGTCATATCTTTTTAACAGATATGTGCCATCTGTACTGATCAAATCAGGATAATCAGCATTTCCTTGCTTATCATTTCTTTGTATTTGGAGCCTTTGAGCTCTTTTTTCCAGATCTTTATACCATAAACTATAGTTATCTCTGCTGTGTTATATCAGAACTTATTTCTTCTATTTTACTTTATTTAATTATTATTTTTTTAGTACATGTGTATAATTTACAATCACTTTGAGAAGTGCTTACATGTATGTACCATAGCCTGTTTCTTTTTAAAACCCCTTTGCAGTTTCCTTTCCCTCCTTTCCTCCTCCAAATTCCATATCTCATTTTTCATTCTAATTGATATTATTAATCTTAGCTTAAGTTATGGCATATTATCTCTACATTCATTGAGGTTGTTAGGTTCCTGTACATGACATAACTTTATTCTCCTTTTTTCTCCTTCCCTTCCTAATCCTTCACACTTTTCCCTTTTGATCATTTCTTTATTGTAAGAGATCCGTCTCCTGGTCCTCTTCTATTTATCCTTATTCTCTTCATGTTTTGCCTCACTCAAATGAGAGACACTATGCAGTGTGTAAGCTTGTGTATTTGATTTATTTCACTCATGAACTTAATTTGTTTCATGATTTTGGAGAAGATGGCCACATTTGTGTTTGTGTGGGAAAGATGGTTGTGTTTGTGTTCATCACCCAATGTAAAGTTTGCAAACAAAAACAAAATTTTTCCAAATGCTTTTGTTTGTGAATCAAATTGTTTCCCCCAAAAAATATACACTGAGGGAACAATAGCCTGTTTAATAAATGGTGTTGGGAAAACTGGATATCCACATGCAAAAGACTGAGTTTGACTCATGTATTTCACCAAGTGCTAAACTAAAATCAAAATGGATCCAAGAGCTAAATGTTAAAATAGAAACAGCCTGCTAGGAGATAAAATGAGTAAAACTCTTATAAGTCATATACATAAGCAAGGGATTTCTGAACAAAACGCATGTGCACAGGAAGTACTGAGAATTACTAAAGGGGATCATATAAAATTAAAAAGCCTCTGCACAGCAAAAGAAACAACCAACAGGATGAAGACACAATCTACACAATCAGAAAAAAAATTTCAAGAACTATTGCTCATATAGAAGACTCATGTGGAGAATATGTAAAGAACTCAAAAAAAATTTAGGCCTCCCTAAATAAAAGACCAAATCAACACAAATGGCATG